CACCGCAAACTGTCAAAATCATTGGAGGTTGACTAACAGATAATTATAGGGAGACAGGAAGAATATCTCCTGTGGCTAAGCTGATGGAAGACAACTTGGGAATATATTAATCAATAAAATCAAGCACCCAACTAAACAATCTGCATTGAAAACAAGACTGTGTTTGAGTGCTTTCAAAAACTGTATTTTCTGTTTAAATTCCTAAAAAAAGGTCCCATACAGCAATGCTCAGGAAAGAATGACATCAGATTACGTGTCAATGGGAGCTGCTCAGAGAAAATACTTATTGACAGAAGTCTCAGTGAACCAAGCAAGATCTCAGTCAAAGACTCCTGAACAAAGTACAGCTGACCACCTGAGAGGTAACTGTATGATTTAATTGATATAGATTTCAGTAAAATTCTCAATACAGGTGCTGGATTTCATATAATATTACGATTCAGCCTGGGCTGGGCATATTTTCACACATAAACGTCTTCTCCTGCTTTGAAGAATAGTTGGGAAGCAGCAGTAGGATTGCAGGCTGATTATCAACCTATGGAATAGCTTCATGAAAGTTCCTTCCCTAACCATCAAGCACTGGAGTGGGACTTGAACATAGAGCTGTTAATCCAGAGGTACGGACATTACCCACTACACCACAAGAACTCCTATTGTATAAACTATAATTAATCACAACATTCTCATTGAGAAGAATTTTGCAGAGTACCTCATGTGGAGCAACAGGTCTGGTTACGTTGAAACTTTCTTCAACATCTGGCACTCCAACATAAATATTCAGGTATCTGCAACAAACATATTCTTCAAAAGAAACATACCAGTAATAAATCTAAACTAATGTGACAAGCCTATTCTGTCATCTCAGGTGGATGCAAAAGGTCTTGTGGCACTATTCTGAAGGCAATGGGAGTTATTGTGTGTCCACCATGGATTATCTGAACAAGTTATATAATTGCTGTTATAGGAGCTTATGGAACACAAACTGACTGCCCCAATTTTGACACCAGCGACATTTCAAAAGGTACTTAAGATATGCATTTATAAAGTGCTTTTCACAACCACCAGACAACTCGATGTTTTATAGCCAATGAAATATTCTTGAGGTACTCTTATTAGACAATAAAGTGTTGTGGTAGTGAAGTAGTGAGAGTAATTACATAAATGCAATTTTATGTCAACATGTAATGATTAATACAGTCCTGTAAAAGGCAATAAGAAAATATCCTTACACAATATTATTTGAAAACACTGAGGGACAAGTGGCAAAACTCGTTAAATGAATGACTCTATACTGAGAAACCTGACTTGAAATGTTACAACATTACATCCTTATTAACTTGCACATTCTAAAATGTCCAGCAGAAATATCTCTTTTCTCAAGTAGAACAAACTGCTTCTTAAACTGGAGCCCACTGAGCTTTTCAACAATGGGAGGGTGTGAAATGATTGCCCCAGGAGCAACAGCGGGGGGTAAAATAAGGGGTGGTAGGCGTACAAAGAGAAGGAAGGAAAGGCAAATTGTCTACTTTGCGCAACTTAATGATAGTTGGGACACATCCTGCACATGCAGCTGGCTCAATGTCTCTCATAATTCCCAAATATTCAGCCTCCTTCATGGGGATGGCTTCCTGGTCAACTATTCTTTTCAGTAATGGGTTTCATATTTCTTTTAAGCAGGAGCTGATGGAGTTATTGGACTAGTAATCCAAATTCCCTGGCTAATGCAGAGTTTAAATCCCACCACAACAGCTGGTGGAATTTAAGTTAAATTAGCAAATCTGGAACCAAAAGCTAGCCTCAATTATGGTGACTATGGAATTACTATTAATTTTTGTCAAAACTAAAATAAAAAATGGTTTTACTCATGTCCTTTAGGGAAAGAAATCTCCCACCATTACCTGGTTCGGCTTACACATGACTCCAGACCCACAACAACAATTCTGAAGAGGAGTCATATCAGACTCAAAATGTTAACTTTTTCTCTCTCCACGGATGCTGCCAGACTTGCTGAGCTTTTCCAGCACTCTGTTTTCATTTATCACAACAGTGTGATTGAGTTTTAAATGCTCTCGGAAGTGGCCGCAGCAAACCATTCTGTTCAAGGGCAATTAAAGATGAGCAACAAATGCTGGCTTTGCCTTGATGCTCACATTCCATGAAAGAACAGAACGGGGAGGGGGGAATGGGAGGCCAGCTATTGCTGTGAAATCAGAGTGCATTCAATTTAGCCCCAGTGAGAAGTGCTGTTTTTAACACTGCCTGGTCTGTTCAATGCTTGCAGTATTTTTGTTTATATTAATTTCTTGTTGATTTGAATCATAGAATGGTTACAGCACGACAAGAGGTCATTCAGATTAGTGAGTTCTTGTCGACTCTCTGCAGGAGCAGCTCGCAAGGAGAACTCCCCTACTCTAGTTCTGAAAAGTGAGGTGCAATCTTTTCCATTCACCTTAGACAGGAGATAAGATTTGGGTTTAATGGCTCGAATGAACGATGGGATCTCTGATAGCGCAGCACTGCACATGACAGCCTGAATGTTGCACCCAATGTCCGGAGTGGGACTTGAACCCACAACCATCCAACTTAGAGGTGACAATGTTACCCATTGAGAAACTGCTGACACAAGACTGTGGGGGAAAAGGACAGCAGGGCAATGATAAACTGACTGAAACTAACCAAAGGATATGGTAGTACAGCGGTTGTGTTACTGGATCAGTAATCCAGAGATCTGGGGGCAAGCTTATAAAACCAAGCACATTGCTGAGAAGGATTTAAGGCAGATGGGGGTAGATCTTGAGAGAAATAGATCTGGAATACAAACTCAAATAAAATGATGAGAAGGCACTGGGGAAAGTGCAGAAGAGATTTATGAGAAATTCTAAGGATGAGGAAATTCAGTCAGGAAGACTGATTGCAGTAGTCACCTCGGTGACAAGTGGTTAGTGTCACAGCACCAGGAACCAAGCTTCGAGTCCAGCCGTGGGTGACAGCGTGGAATTTACATGTTCTCCCCATCTTTGTATGGGTTTCCACCTGGTGCTCTGGTTTCTTCCCACAGTCCAAAGATGCGTTGGTTAGGTGGAGTGGCATGGTAAATTGCCCCATAGTGTCCAGGGATGTACAGGCTAGGTGCATCATTTACTCTATTCAAGGCTGAAATAGAAATATTTCTAACAAAAAGGGGAATTAAGGATTATGGGGTTAAGGCAGGAAAATGGAATTGAGGGTCATCAGATCACAATCACATCATTGAAGGGCACAGCAGACTCAATGGACCCAATGACCAACTTCTGCTCCTGTCTTATGGATTTGTAAGAAGAAAATGTTCTGACTTGTAAAAGGATCAAGAATGAGAGATCTTACATTTCAAGTAATTTGTAAAGGTAGTAAGAGAGATACAAGGAAAAGCTATTTCATGCAGTTGCTAGTGTCTGGATTGCAATGCCTGAGAATGTGGTGGAGGCAGGTTCTAGGGGTCAACTGGAGGGTAACTTGATAAGAAACAATGTGCATGGGTTACAGGGAGATGGTAAGACAATGGCACCGAGTGAGATGATCAGTGGGAGGACTGGTGAATACACGATGGGCTGAACAGCCTTCTTTCCTCCCTGTAATAATTCTGACAGAATCTTTCAGCACATCAACAAAATCTAATTCAATACAACCTACAAAGGAAATCAGCTACTCTCACCCTGTCTGCAAAACATGATCCCATACACACAGCAATACAGCTGGCCTTTAACTACACATTATACGATTAGAAATCACTGTCCTTGGAAGAAAGAAAAAGAAATCAGTCCTTGGCACTTACTTTAAATACCACATAGGATCAGCATCACTGGTCACCTTCTCGTTGGCTTTCATAATCTTCTTAATCTATGGAGAAAGCAGACCAGACAGTGAACAGAACAAATGGCACAGTATGAGGCGGAAGGGCAGAATTAAACTACTGAGCATCACTGACATTCCTACCTCGACATTTATGAAGTAGTTGAACGAGTCAATGTGCTGCTTCACCAGGCCTTTGACCTGCAAAGAACAAAGAAACTTATATAACACTCATTCATCACAGAAATCCATGAAGTAATTAAAATAGTAAATCAAACGGCTTTCAGGGTAGAAGAAAGTACAAGCACACAAAGTGGGTCAACATAGGCAGAAAGTTTCCAAAGCAAAGTGGAAGAGTTATTGGAACTTAAAATGAATTGCCACAAGGGACTGTTCAGGCACAGACTACATCGTTTAGAAAGGGAATTGGATAAGGATTATAGAAAGATACAGGAAAAAGCCCGAGAAGGGAGTAGGCAGCTCCATGTAGAGAACTAGCACAACTACAATGCGCTGAATGGCTTCCTCTTGCGCTGTCAGACAAATAGCAAATTTGTTTTTTTTTAAAAAAACAGAAGTAAGCTTACACTGGGACATTAGGAACAGAAGGCCATTCGGCCCAGAAAGCCTTTTCTATTAGATCATGACCCACGTGCATGTTAACTTCACTGACCTGGCTTTGTTCCACATTCTCACAACAAACTTCAATTAATCTCAACCTTGAAAATCACTCAGTAACGCACTGGATCCATCTCAAGATTTATTTGGGGAGGGGGGAGGAAAAGGGAGTTCCAGATTTCCACTGCCATTTTGTCACAGTTCATTGGCATAGCACAAGTCACAAAAGTTAACGATTTTGAAATTCCTCAATCTACCTTATTTTCAGACTCAGGTGGATAGAAAGCACAGACAAGGTTTCTCTACATAACAAGAATTACCATTTATTACAAGTAATTAGACTCTAACTACAGGCAGTTATAACGATTGCATTATAACACTACAATTTAAAACTTCCCCTCAGACATACAGGCAAGAAAAATAGATTAAGAGTGCAGGAAAGCTGGAAGCCAGTTCAGGCATTTATTCATGGGTTGCTGAGATGATCTTTATGATTCTATGTTGTTCAGAATGATACTGTTCAGTTGCCTATCTCTGGATACTTCCAACAGTTTGTAAGAGACAAAGTGGCTGTTTCACTTATGAAAGGTTTCCGACACATCAGTTAAAAGTCACAGCTTAAGACAACTGCTGATGAAAAGATGAACCAATTTTTTTCCAAGTTTAAAATGGGTTTTGACTGCAGAGAACAGAGAGACAGCCCCTGAGCTAATTGAGATCAGAACATTTCTCTCTATCTTGTTCCCAGCCTCAAGCTATTCAGTTACCTTAGAACTAATCAGTGTTGGCAAACAAAAGGCTTTTGTGATCGATAACTGGTCATTAGTCCATAGACAAAGCAAATTCTTGTTGACACCCAGGTGAATCTGTACACAGAACCTCTCAGCAATTCATCTGCAATCACTTCAATTACTACTTGTTCAAAGAGCTATTTACGCTGCTTGCCATAAATGTCAGGTCACTTGCTTTCCACAACATGCACAAATCCTTTGAAGCAGTAATTTTAAAGTGATTCTCATTTCAGTTCATAGTTTTAACAGCACCAAATTAAACAGACATGGTCTTTTCATGTTCATGACCACTTCTCAATGGCCAAGCTAATTCTGATGGTTATGCCTCCATTGGAAGAATGGGTTCTCTCTGCCAAACTCATTTTAAACACCTTGATCAGATCATCCCTCATCTTCCAAACTCATGAAAATACAAGCATATTCAAGCAATCCTCTCAACTGTCAGCCGATAGCGTTCTGATGAACCTCCATTTAAGCAGGATGAAGAGGTCACAGTTTGCTCAACTCCCCTCTCCCAACCACCAGCCCAGTTACATTTGCCACTGAACTCCGAAAGCAACTCTGCGACACACCAATGTGTATTGCAAGTTTGACCTGTCACCATCTGTAGGCTGAATGCAGAGTTGCTCATTGTCATAAGCTTCACAGAACAAATTAAACATTTCAAGTGCTATCATTCTCCTCACCAAAACATGAAAATGAGAAAAACTCTGCTACCTTCAGAAAAGCAGGAAGAAGCTTCCATTTTTCCTATTAGAAAAGTAGAAAACAAACATCAGTATTTTTACATTGAATACATAACACAACAAGCTGTTTAGCACAACCAAATATCAGCATATTTGCTATTATCAAGCCTCGTCCCATCTCTTCTCATTTAAATCTGCTATCATAACCCTTTTAATCCCTTTTGCTCATGTTTATTTAGTTTTCCCATAAATACATCTATACCATTTGTTTTACCTCACCCCGTGGTCTCCAGTTCCATTTTCTCACCACTCTCTCTAAATGAGGAGCTTTGTCATATTTTTCTCTCATGTTTGTTTGGATCTATATCCAGAGTCTGGAACAATGAGAGATAGAACTTATTACAGCAAATAAAATTCTGAGGGTACCTGCATGGGTGGATGCTGCGAGCATATTTCCCCTCATGTGGGAATCTAGAATGAGGGGGTCACAGTTAAAGATTAGAAGTCTCCCACTTAAGAGAGTGATGAGAAGTTTGACCACCCACCACCACACAAACACAGGGTTATTAATCTGGGGAATTATCCTCCAGAGAGCAGAGGATCTTTGAATGTACTTAAGGCTGAGTCAAACAGATTTCTCATTGACCACGGAGTCTAGTGCAATGTGGGACAGACAGGAAGAGAGTTGAGGGGGATACAGTCAAGGCATGAACTTTTTGAATGCCGCACAGACTTTTTTGGGAGGGTTGGGAGGGTGAGGTTGATGAATAACTTGCCCCTGCTCCTCATTCTTCTGTTCCCATCTTCTGAATCTCCTAATGCATTTTTGGTGACTACCTTATATCGAAGGCTGCTGGTTACATTCTTCCGCACGAGATGAAACATTCTCTCTGCATCTACTTCATCAAGACATTTCATAAAGTTAAAAGGACCCCAATAAATCGCTCCCTAGTCTAAAAAATAGCCCAGACTATCACTCCGTTCCTGATGTGAATTCACACAAATTTCTAGCATCATCTCTCTAAATGTCCTCCACACCCTCTACACAGCTTTCTAGATATTTTCTAACCAACCTGTTCAGAGATCTGTTACACACTTTGGGAGCTGAACACGGGCCTCCTGGGTCAGAGGTAGGGACGCTACCTTTGCAGCAAGAGAGACCTTAAACGCTGCCCCCTCACCCACGTGCCATAACCTCTCCCTGTTTAATCTCCCCCTCTCCGCTCCTGCCTCACCTCCACCTCCCGGACCGGTGCCGCCAGCCTTTCCGGATCCAAATCCCCGAACTCCGCCGCTAGCGTCTCCATGTCCACCTCGTGGTCCGCCACCAACCCCCGTCCGGACGGAACCCGCCTCCTGGAAAGAAAGGTGTCCGGACGGAACTCCGCGGGGCCGCTGAAAGGTTCCGGCCCTTTTCCCCGCCCACCGGCAGCCCTGGCCTGGCATCACAATAAAGCTGCTGGAGGATCTGATAAATTAGAATTGCTCACTTCAAATCATTCATCACTCTTCTCATTATTACACATCCTGGACTTTTCCTTTTCTTTTCCCCCACAGTCCCCTCCTATCTCATTACCCGGACTTAAATCTTATAAAATTAGTTTGAACAAATTGTCAGAAAGTGAAACCTGGATGTTCTGATGACATCTTCCATCACAACACTAACAGATTCTCCTTTGCAGTTTTGCAGCTGTAGCACTTTCTTTGTTTTTATCATTATGCTAGCCAGGAACAAGCGGCCATAAATTTTGTGCCTTTTCTTCTTTTTAAAATTGTGAATAGGAGCAAAGAGAACACAAACAAGGAAGTTACGTTGAATTTGACCATAATTCTGCCTCAGCTGGAGGGTTGTGCCCAGTTCTGGGAACCACACTTTGGGAAGGATGTGAATGCATTGGCAGAGAGTGCAGAAATACTTCAAGAGAATGGTTCCAAGGATAGGAGCTTCAGGTCTGAAGATAGAACTGGGGAAGTTGGGATGATTTTCCTGACAAAAGAAGGCGAAGAGGCAATCTGACCAAATCAAATTTTCAAAATCATTAGGAATCTGCACAGAGCGGATAGGGAGAAACACTCTCCACTCAGGATCAGGAAAATACGGATTTAAAGTGATTAGTAAAAGCAAAAATTATCCAAGGAAAATCCTTTTTGTACCGTGAGTGATTAGGATCGGGAATGCATCATCTGAGAGTGTGGTGGTGGCAGCTTCACTCCAGCCTTTCAAAACAGAATGAGATTGGTGTCAGCAGATGAAGAATGTGCAGGGTCAGGTGGGAGAAAGTGTGAGAATGGCACTCGGTGAATTATAATTTTGCAGCACCAATACAATCACATGGGCCAAATAGCCTCCTTTTGCACTGTAATCTCTGTGATTGTCTGCTTTTGACCCATCAGCAATGAAGGAATGGCAAATTAAACACTGCTTCCCCAATCAAAATATCTTTGAAGAAATTACAAACTCCTGAATAAAATCAGTGTATAAAAGCAAGAAGGCTATGGTCAAGTATTCGTAAAACACTGTTCCTTGCCTCAAATGGAGTATTGTATTCCTTCTCGGCACTTCATTGTCACCAGTTAAGTGAATCAATTGGAGAAGCTGTATTTGGTATTAGTGAAGAAGGATCTACTCAAAATTGTCAGGGGTCTAGACTCAATGAATAGGGAAAAATGGCTCCCATTGGCAGAAGGGTTGAGAACAAGAGGACATCGCTGTGAGGTGGTCAGCAAAAGAAACACAAGTGAAATGAAGAAAAACATTTATGCAATGAGTGGTTAAGACCAGTAGAGAACTGTCCGAGAGTGTGATAGTGACAGGTCCCATCATGGCTTTCAAAAGGAAGTTGGAGAATAACCTGAAAATGGATAAATTTCTGGACTACAAGGTCCTTCTGGACAGGAGGGTGGAAATGTACACGCCGCGACAGCTGGAATGACAACATGCCAAATGGCATCTATTCTATGGTCTATGAAAAGTTGCAGAATGCCAGTGCTGTGGTGTTACCTACCCCGACAGGCCTGGACGCACCTGTTCTCTCTGTCACTGATGCAGACGTCAGATCAGTCTGCCTGAGAGTAAACCCAAGGAAAGTGACTGGCCCAGATGCAGTCCCCAGCTATGCACTTAGATCCTGTGCTGACCAGCTGACAGAAGTATTCACTGACGTCTTCAACCTCTCAATGCTAAGATCTGAAGTCCCTACCTGCTCCAAGAAGACCACCATCATCCCAGAACCAAAGAAAATACAGACAATGTGTCTTTACGTGCGACTACCTCCCCTTGGCTCTGTCCTCCATAATCCTGAAGTGTTTCAAGAGGTTGGTCATGGCCCACATTAAGTCTAGCCTCCCAGCCTGTCTTGATGCCCTGCAATTTGCCTACCGGCAAAACAAGTCCACAGCACACACCATTTCTCTAGCTGTACTCTCATCCCTGGAACATCTGGATAACTACGTCAGGCTCCTGCTCATCCAGTACAGTTCCGCCTTCAACACCATAATCCCTGTCAAGATTAATCTCAAAACTCCGGCAGCTTAGGAAATTCACCAACTTTTAGAGAAAGCATTCTATCTGGGTGCGTAATGCCTTGGTACAGCAACTGCTCTGCCCAGGACAATAAGAAATTACACAAAGTTGTGTGCATAGCTCAGACCATCACGGACGCCAACCTCCCATCCATGAACTCCATTTACACTTCTCGTTGCTATGGTAAAACTGCCAACATCATCAAAGACCCCTCCACCCTGATAATACTCTCTTCCAACCTCTTCCATCAAGTAGAAGATACAGAACCTTTAACACAGGCACCAACAGTTTCAAGAACAGCTTCTTCCCTGCTGTTATCAGACTGTTGACTGGACCTCTCTAATTTAAAATCTAATGTTGATCTTGCTTTGTACACCTCCTGTGCAGCCGTAACCTTGTATACCTTGCTCTGTCAAAGCACCCTATGATCTGTATGTTCTTGTTTGCTATGATCTATGTATACTGCTCACAAAACAAAACTTTTCACTGTACTTAGGGACATGTGACAACAACAAATCAAATCAAATCAGTTGAAATTGGCAGCTCCTAAATCAACCAAACATGGCATGCAAGAAGAAAATGTTCTGTCCACTGGAGGGTCAGCACTGAGGGAGCCCCACACTGTCATAGGGTCAGCACTGAGGGAGCTCCACGCTGTCAGAGGGTCAGCACTGAGGGAGCACCACACTGTTAGAGGGTCAGCACTGAGGGAGCACCACACTGTTAGAGGGTCAGTACTAGGGAGCACCATGCTGTCACAGGATCAGCACTGAGGGAGCACCATGCTGTCACAGGGTCAGCACTGAGGGAGCACTGCAACATCAGAGGGTCAGCTTTGAGGGAATTCCACATTGTTGGAGGGTCAGCACTGAGGAGCACTGCAATGTCAGAGGCCCAGTAGTGAAGAATCGTTAATACTGAATAAGCAGTCCACTGTAAGACGGACAGTGCTGGGGGAGTTCCACACTGTTGGAGAGTCAGAACTGAGGGAGTGCTACACTGTGGGTGGGATCAGATCAAAGGGAGTGGGATACTTTCAGATGGTCAGTGTTGAGGGGAGGCTGCACTGTCATGTGCCAGCACTGGGAAGTGCTGCACTGTTGGAGGGTGAAGACTGAGTAAGCGCTGTGCCGTGCTGTTGAAAGTGCCGTTTCTTTTGGCTGGGATATAGCTTGCCCATCCTTTTGGACATAAAACTGAGAAACTCATTCAAGCAGGAAAACGTCTTAATGTCGTGGCCAAAATTCCCAATTGATTCCACCAACAATACATGAACTGGTTAGTCATCACATTTACAGTTGTTGGATCGTGCTGCATGTAAATTGGCTGCACCATTTGTTTATATAATTGTCAGCAGTTCAGCATTATTTGTGCTGGACTCTGAGCTGAGTCAGGTTGAGGGACTGAGCCACAACAATGTGAGGCAAATGTACCACTTCAGATCGTTCATGCCTGGTAATCTTGAAATAATTACGTTGATATAAAATAAACCAAGACTCACTTCTCCATAATGAACTTCATTTCAAGCTTATTAAAAAGGTGAACATGCATTGCAGAAACTGAACTATAACTACTTGCAAAAGAATAAACTTTAATCAAATATGTATTCCACGGCTTTGCTGAACTTTGAGAAATTAAAGCAAGGTTTTAACAAGCAGCACTTGATTAAAAATAATTAGAGTATTGTTTACATTTGGAGGGGGAGGGAGTAGAAATTTCAAATCAGCAAACTGTGTTTACCAACATGTAACTCATTTTAGTATTCCCTCGTGTTGCTCAGGATTTAATGTATTTCAAATTAATGCTCGTCTTCAAACAGAATAAGCTGCAGAACACAGCAGGCAGGTTAAGGATTTGGTTGGGATAAAAGTGCAAACTCTCATAAAATCAGCTCTGTTGTAAAAACAAAGATTGAACTTTAAAAGGAGTAGAGTTTCCGTAATGACCAAACAATGAGCTACGAAAACCGCAAAACATATTCGATGAAAATTGAAAATTCAGAAGCGTAAAAAGCGTGAGCTGTTTTGAAACTGGTTTAGGGAAGCTTTGAAATTTTTGATGTAGTTGCAGAACCTGCTGCGGTGTCTGCAGAATAAAGTTGCTTGTGATGTCGCAAAATCCCAATAAGTTTTGGGCCAGAGAAAGACCAAACACCCAGTTTCAGGTAAATGCCAAACATCTTTAAGCATGAGTTTTCTTGTCTTCATCAAACCATCTAAAATTAAACTTCATAAATTGATTCAAACCTCAGTAATCCTTGGAAGGTTGGCATTTGAGGTCATTAGTTACTGAAAAGGTCTGACCAGATGGACTGTAATCTGCTACAGTCAAACCCTCCCCATTCTTAAACACCAAGGCAGTCTTTGAGCTGCTCTCATCTAAACTCCCTCCAACTTCAATTCTTGGAAACAGGTCCATGAGAAACAAAAGTTTCTTCCACATTTCTGGCACCTCAGAGACTGAGAAAAAGCCTAATCAAGGTCTGGTTGAAAATATTTTATCTGGAAACTAAAAACATAAATAAAACGCAAGTTACTATTAAAAGCAAACTGAAATATCAACGAAGTCTGCATTTTCAAAAACTTTTACAATTCAAATAACTTTTGTTTAATAAAATGTTCAATCTAACAAGCTCAGATAATTCCATTAATATGGGCTATGAAGCAGAGAAATACACAGATTATAATATAGGGTTAACCCTTAAATCAATGACTAAATTGAATAAAGCAGATAAAGAATGTCAAGCTATGAAAACAAATGCTCTTCCACAATTAGAAATACAAACTGCTGGCCGTGGGTGTTTAGCTTCAATGATGGAATGGACAGTGAACAGAGTGTTCCTCCCAGTTTAAAATCATGCAGGAGTTTCACATCAGATTGATCTAAAAATGTGCAGCTATTAGGTCACATGGTGTAGTGAAGATTAAAAAGCACCAATTTCACTTCAAATAAGACAAACATTTCTGAGCCCACTGGTTATGGAGAGATTGGTAGGTTTTCTAAGAGATATTAAATGTGGTGGTTTGTCACAGGATTTAATTAACAAGAAGGAAGGCAGGTGACACTGCTTTATTGGCACGCCACAGAGTCTACAATGATTTTACTGTTTTATAGAGTTTGGAAGCTTGAGGACTGCAGCATCATCAGAACAAAAACTGAAACTAAAATCCTGCAACATCATATTAAATTTTAAAAACTAGTGCTACTGCATAGAGATCTTGTGTGAAATGTGTTGATTTATGAGGACAGCTTCTGAAATGGATTCTATGCTGAATGGTAAACAATTTTTTTAAAAAAAGTAACCCGAATTTTAACTCAGAGACTGTCACCTTTTGCACAGCATCAAATCCATTGTGTTCACTGGGGAATGCAATAATTGAGGATTCTAAAAGAGCAGTCTCTGCAAAATGTGCAGCGATGTATTATACAAAACACAAGGACTTTGAGGATATGCAGCCAGGGAAAAAAAAAACAATCTGAGCATCGACTACAGTTTGCTTGTTGGACGGATGTATATTCTGCAGAAATTTGTGCAGACTGTAGAACAACGCTGAAGTTCCCTGAGACTATCAGAGGTTCAGTCCAGGGGTATGTTGTTGTTACTAAGCAGCACTGGGTAGGAACTTCCAATGTACTTCCCGTGGCGATACACAACAATTTGCAAATGGTATTCGTCCACCATTACCAGCTCCCGCGAGACCTTGGCCTGCGACAGGAGGAAGCAGATGGTGTAGACAGCAACCTCAAACTCAGGGCTCACTCCAATAAATGAGCTGCCCACTGGTTTCACCATCTCCTTCCAGCTGAACTGCAGGTTCAAGACATGATCATCTTCATCAGGCTGCAATAAACCAGCAAAAAGAAAAGAAAAACAAATATCAGTTAGATCCCACTGGGCAGTAGACATACACCCAAACTCATGATAATATACCACCTTACTGTAAAATTCAAAATGCTCATTCACCCACTGCTGGCATTGCTGAGAGAGTTGAGTCTGAATCAAATTCAGGGCTCAATAGTGCGCTAGGTCTCACTGGGGTAACATGCTGGAAATCAAGCCCTGCTATTCCTGGAGTCACTGCAAGAGTTAAACATTTCCCCATCCTCTCCACAGCACTTGGTCTTTACATCAGTTCATTTCCCACTTCAGTCCACAAGAAAAATAGTGCAGAAAAATAATTTTAAAAATGTTTTGTAACAATGAAGGTAAGCAAACAGAAATGAGCTTGCTTTACCGTTGACTTAAGTTGAGGCAATATCAATGTAAGTAAAAGGCAAGCTCAGTGGACCAATAAAGGACAGCACAGTAATATTGCAAAGGGTAAAGCTCTATGTGAGGAATAGTCATTAAAAAAATATGAAATCACTAAATCCACAGAGCATCCACAATATGATTGATGAACTTGTGTTACGAACAGAGATACATGGTTTAAATCTAATCACCACCACAGAGTCATGGTTACAAGGTGACCAAGATTGGAAAATATATATTCCAGGGTACACACCATTTTGAAAAGACAGGCAGAATGGAAAATGAGGCAACGCCATTATAATAAAGGATAATATATGATCATTCATGAGAAATGATCTATTCACAGAAAATCAGCAGTGGAAGAGGGGAGAGATTAGGAATAACAAGAGGTAAAAACAACACATAGTAGTTGATAGGTTCCCTAACAATAGTTAAGCTGTGACACAGAGCATTAAAAGAACAAACTATTGCAGCTTATAAAAGGCAATGTAATATTTGCAGGGGACAGCAATCGCCATATTGATTAGACCAAACAGATTGGTAAAGGTGATCTTAAAGATGAGTTTGTCAAATGTTTGTCAGACATTTTTTTGGAGACACCAGTTAGGAATTTAAGCTATTTGAATGAGTCAGCGTTGTTGGAATGTCATAGTAAATGATCCACTGGTTAATAGTGATCATAATAATTGTATTTCACAGTAATTTTGAAAACAAAATATTCTAATTGCAAATAAGAATCTTAAACAAAACCTTGAGGGGACAGCTAGCTAAGGTTTATTGGGTAAACAGACTAAAATGTTTGCTGGTTAATAAACACTGGGAAAAGTTAAAGAAACAATTCAAAATGATCAAGAAACATACATTTCATTGGAAAACTGAAACTCTGAGAGAAAGATACATCCATGGTCACTAAGGAGGTTAAGGATAGTGTTAGATCAAAGGACAAGAGTAAATACAAGGATTGACAGTGTTTTAAAAGCCAACAAAGGACCAATAAAAACTAAATTAGAGAGAATAGAGTGAGAATAAACTAGGAATTTGTTCCTTAGCCAACAATGTCAGAACATCAAGTGTGGCTGCTCACACCTTATTCTTGTCCTTCCTGGCCACAAAGCCTTTGTAATCAATATGGTTGCGCTTCTCCTGCAGGTAGAATTGGACCCAGTTGTGCAGGCCCATGATCTCTCTCCCTCGTTTGGTCTCTCCGACAAACACATGTTCAAACCCTGAAGAATCTCGCCTGGCAGAAGCAAAGAGACCAATAAAGCAGGCAAATGGTAATCCATCACAGAAGCCACTTGTTACATTTCACAGAACCACAGAATTGTTTTGATGTGTAAGAAGTCCATTCGGACCATCGTGTCTGTACTGGCTCTCCATCATGACTTAGTGCTACTCTTGTGGCTTTTCTCCATGCCCTTTTACCAAATTTGAATAGAAATAATCATCCAATGCCCTGTTGAATGCCTTAATTGAAGCTGCCTTCAGAATGTTTCCAAGCAATGTATTCTAGACCCACATCACATCGCATTTGCATATGTTCCAAATCACTTTAAATCTGTGCCCTCTCATACTTATCCTTTTACAAGCAGGAAGAGTTTCTCTCTATCTATTCTACCTAGATCCCTCGTGAGTTTGAAAACTTCCACCAGATCTCCTCCTAGCTTTCTTCTCTCCAAGGAGAATAACCCCAGCCTGTCCAACATATCCTCATAACTGAAGTTTCTCATCCACAGAACATTCTTATAAACTGTTTCTGCACTTTCTCCAATGTGTTCGCATCCTTCCTATCATGTGGCACCCAGACCTGTACACAACACTCTAACTGAGGTTTAACACGAATCTTATACAAGTTCAACATCATGTCTTTGCTTGCGTACTCTCTTTGCCCCTACTAGCAAAGCCAAGGACACTGTATGTTTTACTAACTGATCTTCCTACTTGTCCTGTCACTTTCAATGATCTGTGCACATATACAGCCAGGACAATCTGCTCCTGCACCCCGTTTAGAACTGTATCCCATATTTCATATTGTCTGTCCATATTCTTCCAACCAAAATACATCACTGCATACTTCTGTGCGTTGAACTTCATCCACCATGTATCTGGCCAACCATCAAGTTGTCTATGTCCTTTTGAAATTCTGCACTGTCATCTAACAGGTTATAATGCTGCCAGGTATCTTCCACAAACACTGAAACTGGCCCTGAACACCATCCTTCAGATCATTAACATATACGAGGAAAAGCCAGGGTCCCAGAACCAAAACCTGGGAAACTCGACCACAAATGTTCCTCCAGCCTGAAAAATATCCATTAACCATTATGACTAAGTCCTGTGACTCAGCCAATTCTGTATCCATTTCATAAAAGAAATCTGCTGGAAGTCACAGGAGAAGAATTTTCCAGCTCTTGTGCTCCACCAGTGACAATAAAAACATCACCTAATGTATGTAACAAGGTCAGCTGGATGGACCTCATAGAATATGAGATCCCTGATTGGACCAGGTTAACAGCCCCAATCAGAGAGCCCTGGCTGACAGATATAAACAGGAAAGTCAGAGGTTCTGTTCTCTCTGAGAGCTGCTTCTGAAGAAGCTGGATCAGCTATGTGTACATAAAGGGTGACTAGGTATCAAGATACCAGCCTCTGTTGAGTTATTTAAGTGGCTACAAGAAAAAAGCATGCTCCTGAAGAAATTCACACGCAACTGTTGTCTTTGAGTTGGGGTAAGCAGCTGGTTCAATTACCATAGATTGTTGTAAAAGGCTGGGGCCCAAATTTGGTTGAGAAAGAGTCACCTAGATTTGCTCAACATTTTGATTAGAAATGGCTGTGTGACTGAAGTCCTAATTAAATACCCAGAAGGTTTTCAGGAAGGTCTAGGGACTATTAAAGGATCCAAGGCCCCCTTGCAGGTTGAACAGGGAGTAAATCCACGTTTCCAAAAGGCCCACCCAGTGCCACTTGTCTTGGGGAGAAAGTAGAAGCAGAACTCAGAAGGCTGGAAAGCGAAGGAATCATCAAACCAATCCAGTTTTGTGGAATGGGCAGCACCAGTTGTACTGATTACAAAGCCCAGAGCATCGGTTTGCCTATGGGGGTATTTTCAACTAATGGTAAACCACTTTATGCATCTGGATAAATACCCAATCCCTCGCCTAGAGGATTTATACGTGAAGCTGGCAGGGAGGCCTGTCCTTCACGAAGCTGGACATGAGCCATGTGTACCAGCGACTGTGGTTAGATGAGGATTCCCAGATGTATGCTCCAAATAATACCCATAAGGGTTTGTACCAATATACGAGACTGCCAATCAGGGTATCATCAACCTGTGCCATTTTTTAGTGGAAGATGGAGAACATTTTACAAGGTCTCCCCCAGGTCACCATTTATCTAGATGACATGCTCATAACAGGGAAGACCAATAAGGAGCACTTAGAGAACTTGGCCATAGTCCTTAGACTTTTCTCCCAGGTAGCTGTATGCCTTAGAAGGGAAAAATGTGTGTTCCAGGCACCCCAAGTGACCTACCTAGGCTACAGAGTTGACAAGACCAGGTTACACCTGTTGGAAGATAAAGCGAGGGCGATCAAAGGTGCCCGAGCCCACGTCTGTACCAGAGCTTAGGTCTTTCCTTGGGCTGGTGAATATTACGTCAAGTTCATAAGTAACCCGGCCTCCTTCCTGGCACCTTTGCATCAACTCTTAAAAAAAAAAGTCAGCCTTAGAAATGGTTGCATAGCCAAGCCATAGCTTTCAGGAAAGTGAAAAAACAGCTATCGTTGTCTAAGGTGTTGGCACATTATGATCCCAAGTGAGATGTGGTATCGACATGCAATGCCTCCCTTTACGACATCGGGATACTATTAGCTCACAGGTGGCCCAATGGAGAGGAACACCCAGGTCTATGGCTATTGCAGAGCGTAAATATGCCCAGATAGAGAAGGAAGGTTTGGCCCTATTTGGAGTCAGGAAGTTCCACCAATACCTTTTCAGATGTAAATTTGTAATAATAATGGACCACAAACCCCTGCTGGATCTATTTAAAGAGGACAAGGCAGTTCTGCCCATAGCTTCAGGCCAATTCAGCACTGGGCTCAAGCGCAAGTTGGAACACAGTCCAGGAGGCCAAGCTGGAAATACGATGCATTGAGCTGCCTCCCGCTGGCAGATACACCACCTGTGGTACCACCACTGGAAAAGTCTGAAATGGTTTTAAATTTTCTGGATACACTCCAGTCACAGTTGAGAATATCAGATTTTGGATGCAGAAAGAACCCATCCTGGCAAAACTGGTGGTGATGGGGGAAACCAAAGGGCTGTCACAACCAGAATTGAAAACTTTTTGGACCCGGAGAGACCAGATCACTGTGGAAGACAGCATTTTATTACGGGGAGCAAGAGAGATTGTCCCCAGTAAAGGTTGGCGCCAGATATTGGCAGAAGACCACCAGGGTCATCCAGGGGTCTCCAAAATGAAGATGTTGGTGAGAATGTATGTCTGGTGGACAGGATTGGACGCAGACATAGCTATGTTGGTGGGTCAGTGCCCAGAGTGCCAACAAGGACAAAATTAATGCCAGCAGCTCCCCCATCTTTGAGAAAGAAGTGGGCACCGTGAGGGCTGGGGTGCATTATTTCCCACATGAACACTATTTTGATTTGGTGGCCCTCCCTTGTTTTCCCCACCTTTCATATTCTTTTGTCGTCTTGTTGCAAGCTCCTGGAGGGCAGTGCTTGTAATTCGATTGATTGAGTGTCCTCATAATTTGATGGTGGCTCTACTTTCAAAAACAGAAGATCTGGATTCTTTCAGCCTGCTCCTGGGTTTGGTTAAAGTAGCCAACAACAGGCCCAGGCAGTAGGCTGTGAAGAAGGCTGTGATTCCCAACTGTCTGTCTCTCTTCCGTAGTTAGTTCCTGATGGGGTGTTCTTGGAGAGGGGGCACATCGTGCCGCCTATAGCCTTGAAGATGCCTTTGGAGAGACATTGGTACTGCAGGGTCTAGGGCACAATACCTCCCCAACCATCACCATTTTTATTTATTCCCTCATCCTTTGTTTCACCCCTGCCCCGTTTTCAAGATTGTTTCCACATTGCCCATGGCGGTTTGCTCTCTGTTAAAGAAATGATTCATTAATTAGGTGGCTGGGCTTATTTATGTTTAAAAACAAAAACTGGATTCTTCCCTGGGTATGAGTTGTCTTCCAGATGGGGAAAGAGTTCAGTGGGAGAGGTGGAAGCTATAGATTTACAATAAAACCCTTATAGATTTCTGCAAGCTTCAACAAAAACAGAAAATTACTGAAGAAACTCAACAGGTCTGACTGCATCTGTGGAAAGAAATCAGAGTTAACATTTCAGGTCCAGTGACCCTTCTTCAGAACTGTCTTTTGCTGCCTAATTCAATACTTTCCTCTCTTAAAGAAAAAAAAACATACCCATATCTCCCTCCTCTGGAATACAGCTGAAACCAGATGTCGTAAAGATGTTGCTTGAACTGCTGTGGATCAGCTGATGTGAGATTTTTACGGGCAAGGTATTGATGCGTTAACTGAAAAGAGGATAATTATGAGAGTCATCATCAGCACGTTGGATGCCACAATCAATGCTCAGTTTAATTCACTGTTATTCAGGTTTTCTAACTTCATTGCAACTATTTCTTATGTTCTTAACTCAGACACAGACAGGGTATGGGGGGGATGGTTCTTTAATCTAAATCAAGAATAAAGAAGCCTTGTCAGGAATAGAGAAGAGTTGTTACAATTGTACAGGATTTTAGTGACTCCATGTCTGGAGTAGTGTATAATCTCGTCTCCTGACGTAGGAAAAGGAAGATTGCATTGAAGGCAACCTAAAAATGGTTCACTAAATTACTGTTGTTCCTGGCAGTAGCATCTGGAGGAAAGGAGAGGTCAATGTTTCGAGTATTATCCTTCTTCAGAGAAGCTGCCTGGCTTGCTGTGTTCTTCCAGCCTCCTGTTTGTCTCACTAAATTAGTCCCTGGGATGAGGAGGGTTGTCCAATGATAAGGGGTTGATCTGGAGTTAAAAATAACGAAAGGTAATCTGATTGAAGGGTACAAAGTTCTGAAGGAGCTTGATGGGATTGTTGCTGGGAAACTGTTTTGATTTGCCCACCCAGAGGAAACATAGGGGCACAGTCTCAGGGTAAGGGACTGATCATTTAGGACTGAGATGAGGAGGACAACTTCACACAGATGATTGTGAATCTTTGGAATTCTCTATCCCAGAGGATTTTGTCTCTATTGCTGAATAAACTGAAGCCTGGGATAGACAGATTTGTAGTCTCTTAGGGGATCGAGGGATATGAGGAATGGGCAGGAAAGTGGAGTTGAAGCCCAATATCATACTGAATGACACAACAGGCTCAATGAGCCAAATGGCCTACTCCTGCTCCCATTACTTGTGTTGAATATCATTCTTTGTGAAGCAGGGCATCCGATTGCATTAGTTTCCTACTGTGTGGGTCAGAGCAACATTCACCCTTCCACTCCCAGTCAGAGATTAAAAAGTCATTGAGCTTCAAAATACAGGTTATGAGAAAATGAACTAGCTTGGGTTGTCGTGATTAATCAGCAAAAAAGTCACAAGCTCCAAAGTAAACAACTTTAACAGTGTTCAAACAGTACGTCTACACAGCATCAGGTCAGAGAAGTGATCACAGCAAGAACAGTCAAAGAATTAAAAGCAAAAGCTCTGATAATTGTTGAGGAAGATGAGTGAAGTTGCTAAGTACTGAAACATAAATACCCAACACAGATAGCATGCTCGAAAGTGCTAGGACACTTGATTTGTGAAATCGAAGAATGCAACCAAGTTGTAGTGCTATATAAACATTCTGGAGTTCATATGATTACTTTTAGCAACCTGGAGAGATTTGGCAGGATTTTGCTTCAGGAAATTAAGTTGGATATAGTCCATGACAGGACACATTGTGCACAGCTTGTGAAAGCAGGAATTGGCAGAAGTTCTGAAGTTTATATCCTGGAATTACTCCTTAGGCCAGCAGTGATTCCCTTCATGACTGAAGTCTAGAATTCTCATCTTTTATCACCTGATGGGAAGAGATTTAGGTCCCTTACAGTGAGAGGTCATCCACTCACAAGCCTCATTGTTTCTCAAGCAGTAAGCAACATGGGTCCATGGTTGCAAGGTTCTCATAACAGTTGTCAGCCCTGGTTTACTGGGTAGGCCTCTTATGTAAAAAGTCAGAAGGTTGTACGTTCTCTGACAATCCAAAGACTTGATAACCCAGGTTGATACTCCCATTGCAGTACTGAGGGAATGTTACACTGCCAGACACGCTGTATTATGGATGAGATGGTCAATGCATCAAAGTTGCAAAAAAAGATCCTGGGCCTACTTACAAAGAGGAGCAGAGGAGCTGAGGAGCTATCCCCAGTGCCCTGGTCAATATTTCTTCCTCAACCATCATGACAAAAACAGATGATCTGATCATTATCACATTGCTGTTTGTGGGAGTTTGTTCCATGCAAATTGGCTGCTGTGCTTCTAACATTACAACAGTGATTACACTTCAAAAGGAATATACGTCATCAGCTGCAAAGTGCTTTCAAATGGCCTGAGATCTTTGTTTTTAAAAAATGAACCTCCTTGGGATGTGGGTGTCACTGGCTGGGCCAGCATTATTGTACTCAAGAAGCTGCCTCCCAGAATTGCTGCAGCCCACAAGATGTATCATAGAATCTCCACAGTGTGGAAGCAGGCCATTCAGCCCATCAAGTCCACACTGACCCACCAAACAGCACCCCACCCAGACCCACCGCTTATCCTATCCCTGTGATCAAGCATTCCCCATGGCTAAACCACATAGCCTGCACATCCCTGGACATTATAGACAACTTAGCACAGCCACTCCACCTAACTTGCACATCTTTGGAGTGTGGGGGAAACCAGGGCACCCGGAGGAAACCCATGCAGACACAGGGAGAATGTGCAAACTCCACACAGACAATCACCCCAGGGTGGAATCGAACCAAGGTCCCTGGCGCTGTGAGGCAGCAGTGCTAACCACTGAGCTGTCCACAGTGTTTTTGGGGAGAAAGTTCCAGGATGTTGACACACTGACACAAAAGGAATGGTGATTATGATTGTGAAAGGGGTTACATTTATTCAAACTCTCCATGCAGATGGAAAGATACTTATATGGATTTTGTAATATCAGTCGTGGTCTTTTTCAGGGGAAGAAAATGTTCAGCGTGCAGTCAATCTCAGATGTAACACATCTGGTGAAGTGTGGTATATTGCAAAAGTATGTAGTAAGAAGTGATTATGCTACTGAACTGATAATCTGTAGAAATGGACTTCAAAACCTACCAGGAGAACTTAGGAATTTGAGATCAGTTTAAAAAAGATTTGGTCATAAAATTTTAAAAAGCTGCCATTGGAAAAGCTGACAATGAAGTTGTCAGATTATTGTAAAACTCCAACTGGTTTGCTGATATCCTGTGGGAAAGGAAACCTGTCATCCTCACTTGGTATGGACTGTATGGGACTCTGGTGACATAATATTGCTAACTCTTAACTGTCTTCTGAAGTAACCCAGCAAAACAAGCAGTTGTATCAAACCTACTAACCAGCAACAACCCACTATCATCACTGATTTAAAAGCAAGATGTGCATCTGGAGAATGAACAAAACTAATAAAATGTCACAGAAACATAGTTAATAGGAACAGGAGTAAGCCATTCAGCCCTTCAGGCCTGTTCCACCTTTCCTGATGATCCAACTCAAGAAGCCTAAGTTGATCTGTAATTCTGGACCTGTGCTGGCATCATCTGTTGCTAAGGAAACCCTGTATCAAGTGAATCCATTGGCCTCTCTTTATCAAGTACGTGTCCCTGGATTTCTGGGGCTGACTGCTCTCACTTATCTGCTTGTAAACGTTGCAAAAAACACATGATGACTAATCCCTTTCGAAGCTCAAAGTAGAATTAGATACTGAGATCCCAAATGTCAGAGACCCATGATTTTATTATGGAGTGATGCAGAATATGTCAATCCTTTGACAGATATTGGCAGCTCCAAAGGGGGTTATTGCCAAAAGGCACAACTGGGACCCAGAATCCAGCACATCTATTTCTCCTACAAAATTCTAAATTGTCCCTCACCTCCTGGACACCAATGATCATGCTTTTGATTAACACTACCTTCATTTGACTGCTCAAGATTGTTTGAAACCTAATAAAACCTATTGTGCTTTTCGTTCGCACACCAAAACATTCTGGAAATTCACATTCCAGCATCAGCTGATTTCACCACCCATTCCCCTGGGAAAATCTAAAAATAAAATGAAAGACCCAGCTGGATCAAGTAAATGAACCAAAACCAAAGAGAATGATTGTTCATAAGCCACTTCCGGTGCAATACTGAAGATCTTGGCCGTAAAAAACTCTAATCTACAACCATCAGGCCAAACTTCACACTGAGGAAATGGCATAGGTTACATGAGAGTTACATAAAAATAAAAAAAAAGAACTGTGGATGCTGCAGATCTGAAATAAAAACAGCAAATTTCTCCAGCAATTTTGATTTTTGCGTCAATGGTTAGATGATGGGCATAGCATGAAATTGTTGGGCTGAATGGACTCCTTCCATCCTATAATCAGATTATGATGCTGTAATTGCTTCACATGCAACATAAAGCTACAATCTCATAAAATCATACAATGTGGCATGAAGCCATTCTGCACCTCACAGTATGTACTAATCAATTAGGCCCATGGACCTGATCTTTCCCTGTAGTCCTGCAATTATTTTCAATTCATGTATTTATCTAAATTGCTTTTAAAACTTACCATTGGATTCTCTTACACTGTCCTTTCAGGTGGTTCCCTCAGATCATAACAGCTCGTGTATACATTTGTTATTTCTCATGTCATCTCTAGTTGTGTTAAGCCCACATCCTCTTGCGAATAAATTTCTAGAATTGGATTTGGTCCATGTTTTTTCTTTTTTATAACCACCACCCCACTAACTCCCAAAGGTTGTGTTTGAGCATTCTCTCTGGAAACACCTCTAACACTGCTGTTGTACATGGGAAATTTGGAATAAAGTGGAATTTCCAGGCAACTTTCAACACAGCTGAGTAAAGCAGAAAGGCCTCATTTAGGCTTTGGTCCGATAATTAGATTAATAAGCCAAAGAATGCCACTGTCCTCAGGTACATTGTAAGTGTTTCGAGATGACTGCGCTCCTTTGAATGTTGAGTTTACTGCCCTCACCTCCAACCAAATCTTGACTTTTTCCACATTTAAACTCAATTGTTCTGACCTGTGCCTTTGCTTTGAATTTCCCAGCTCTTCACCTCACCTGTAATGGCGATGTCTTCGGTCACCTTAGTCCCATCCAAGGTCTAACACCCTTCGTCCACTTTTAAGGTGCTTGTTAAAACCTAACACTCTAACCAAGATTTTGATGATTCCTCCTAACATAAAATCCATTTTCACCTATGTTGCTATGAAGCCTCCTGAAACATTTTTCCACATGGAATCAATCTTCCGATTAAATTCAGGGGTCAGTGACTCCACAAGAAGAGGAACATTGTACCATTGTACACATTATTCTTCAACTAAAGTTGCCTCTTTGATGCTACGAAGTCAAATTCATGAAAAACAACAAATAGTCATTCAATTGTACAGAAGTTGCCTGTTGCTGAAAAACAAGACTTTTTTTTTCAAATCTTTCCATTGTGCATTCATCAGGAAATTCACAAGAATACTAAAGTAGAGAGGAACAACATTCTCTGAAAACAGCTGGTTAACAATTGTACTGCAATTACTACAGTTGATTCCAGGGAGAATGCACCAATTAGATGATGGTTTAAATTTAAACTAAGCTTGGCAGATAACTGTCTGTCATCATCTATGAAGAGTCCTGATGAAGAGTCACTGGACTCGAAACATTAACTCTGCTTTCTCTTCACAGCTGCTGCCAGACCTGCTGAGTGTTTGCCAGCAATTTCTATTTTTGTTTCAAATCTTCTGTGTCTGCAATTCTTTGTTTTATTTTGGTATATAATTGTTGTTTCCTTCATATGGTGAAAGTCCTGATGAAATGCAAGATGAAAAATTTAGACAAAGTGTGTCTTTTTTCTGTGGTAAACAAACAGTGGCCAAACTTCTACCCGGGTAAACTGAGAGGTTGCAGATATTCTGCCTTTGGCAGTGCGTGTTCCTGAACAGATCTTTTATTTCACTGACAAGAAAATCCAAATCTAGGCCAAAGTGATGTGCATTGGATGCACGATTGACACCACTATTTTAGTTATTTTCTAACCATTCAAGTCACTGGAGTCTTTGTAAATACAAGTGACAGCTTCTATTATAGTACAATAATGGTTATAGAAATCTGATGTCTACTCAAGTTTATTGGCTGATATCACCAACCTGCATGACTTTTGTTCCAAGAACTGCATCCAGAAAACGATTGTTTTCAGCCCTTTCTTCTGGTGTTACCACCTCAGCAATTCCAGTGGACATTTCATAGTTGTCCAAGAGGGAAATGAAGGCTATTTAAATGAATGATTAAATATTAAATTTGGCAACTGTACAGAACAATTACCAAAACAAACCTTTTTTAAAATGTTCTTTATGATTTGTATACTGTCACATTTCTCTGGAACTGCTGATAGTAAGTCGAGTGATACAAAAATGTTAAAAACACGAATATTATACTATACATTACACAATGCATTCTCCTGCTAAAGTGGAGCAAATGGTCTATCCTTTAATGACTGTAAACTCCAAGGTCAACAAGAGGTTAACTGTTGTTGGTTGGCAGTTTACAGCCTGACACACAACTCCAAATCAGAACCAGGCGTAAAGCAGAAAGAAAACAATGAAAAGAACATGCCAGGTTTACAGAAAAAGGTTCAATACTGAATAGACTTGAATTCCTATAGTCAGCAGGATCAGTGACAAAATTTGATGTAGCAAACTTCAGAACTTACCAGCAAAGGTTTTAATTGAATGTAAACGTTCCTCATTTACATAGGAGAACAGTGGCCTGCGGGCATTGTCCCTTGCATTGTTACTTCCAGCAGGGACATACCCTGCTTTACCCTGCAGGGAAACAGAGGCTCCAATTACTGCTGGTCTAACAACAATATAATGATTCATCAATACAGACAATCCTCACTTAAAGTTATAGTTGTATTAAAAAAAATCACAGCTTTAAGTAAAACAACATAGTGTGTATCATAGGTTCTGACAGAGATCAATATTAAGCCTGAATCAAGTTCCTTCAGACACTTTCTTAGCCAGAAAAGTCGATCTACAAGTTGAAATACTGTGTTGTATGTGTACATTCTTGGCTGAATTAACAGGCAAAATAAAGCACTAAATGCAACAGAAATACTGCACAAACTCAAATTGAGTAACACATCAGTCTTGATGGCCCATGTATCTTACCCACAGCACGCCTGAAACCCAGCTCTGTCCATCTTACTCTGTCACCATCTCATGTTTAAAGTGATTACAAGCTCCAAGTTGTACAAACCTTCCACTCTTAGTCTTTAGATAACAAGGTGTAGAGCTGGATGAACACAGCAGGCTAAGCAGCATCAGAGGAGCAGGAAGGCTGACGTTTCGGGCCTAGACCCTTCTTCAGAAAGGGTCTAGGC